AGTTTGAACATGAAAACATTGTTCAGTATTATGGCACTGACAAGGTACGCATCTCCTGCTTTTAGATTTGGTAAAATTGGATTCAATGTGAAAATTTAATCCAATTCACTTGTTATGGGTAGGGTCATGGGTCTAAAATATCAATCTAAAATCTGATATGACTCAAATTGAGATTTTCTGAATTCAATTGGAATAGGTTAGGGTTGGGTTGCTTAAACTGACTAAAATTAATTAAATTTTTTTAAATTTAAAATATTGATTAATTGTACTTCTAATTTTAAGTTTTAAATCAAAATAATCAATCACGTACTGGCATACATACTAGTTTTGTTATTGAAACAGTACATACCAAATACAAGAATTTTTTGTATACTGTTTTAAATTTTTCGCTATATATATTTTATAAATTAAATATCAAATTTTAAAATAATGATAAGAGAAACTAATGTTTAAAACCATCACATTCTTATAAATTGAAAACAAATTTAAAATTACCAACTTTATAAAACATTCATAATTTTTTTCTCTTCTCTTTGAACATTAAAATAATATTGTGAAGCATAATAGTGTTTTGAATTTAATGTTATACAATTAGCAATATGAAATACTTCTACAAGGGAAGGAACCATGTATTTTAAGTACAACAAGAATGCAAAAAACAAGCCAAAACATTGTTAAGAAGAGAGAGCAACAACTGGCGAGTATTGAGAATTAGAACTTTGAATATCAAATTGTCGAATTAGTCCCTCAACTTGTAATATATGTGTATTTTTTATCCCTTCACTTTAAGTTAAGGGATTAAAAATATGCATATTTTCACAAACTTAATAGAGTAATTGACAGAATGACTAAAAAAAATGCATTTTTCATAGCTGAGGACTAAAAAAGTGCATAAAAAAGTTAAAGGATGAAAATTATGCAAAACATTAAAGTTGAGGACCAAAAATAACATTTAACTTTTTTTAAATTTGGATTGATTTGTATCGATAAATTTTTGGTGTATCAGCTGGTATGCAAAATACAGGCCAGTACACCAAAATTTAATTGAAATGGTCAAATTTTGACAAAAATAAAATTGAACCTTGTACCATTTCGGATTAATAGAAAAACTGATACTGATCGACCATACCAACCAGGACGAACAATATCAACTTCTTTGTTTTAAATATAAGATAAAATTAAATACTACAAAGTAGTGATCATTTATTAAATTGTTAGTGTTAATATTAATGTGGGAAAGGTTAATGCTGTTTATTCCATTTGAAACTTCTATGAAGTGAGCTGTAAAGAATTGTCAACAAGGTACCTAGTACATAAGGCCTTCTGCTCTATTGATGGTTCATGTGTTACCAAAGTCATTGATCTTATGTTT